ACTTTTTGAATAAATTTGGATAATCATTTAAATGAGAATACATAATCAAAGTTGACCGTGCATTCGAAAATAGGGCTATTGTCTGACTCAGATTAACTGAAAGATAGTCATTTAGTTTATTGGTCAGAATCGTATTTAGAAAGTCCATTCACTTTGTGATCAATATATTTTCTCCCAATATGTGAAATTTTATACCAAAACAACTACTTTTGACGTCATATTTAACTATTTTCTATTTTCTTTAGTTTCACATAATGGATTGCCTTTGACTGTAGAGCTATTGAATCACTATAAATCACTACATAACTGTTTCGCCCCAGTAAAGGATCACTCACCAGGGAAAAATATAATCCATCCAGGAATCGAAGAAAGGACGTAAACACTGAGAGGTGATCGAGTTACCTTTGGACCAACTAGTTGATATACAATAATTCATATTTCTGATTCCATTCATTGAGTGTTAGGTGATGAGAAGTAGTCATAAGAAACCCTGAAACTTGGTTTCAAGCTAGTTGATATTCGTAAGGCGAATCTGTAATTTTGAGTTCCGATATGTCCTCTGTAAGGTTAAAACTAGCATGCCCCAGCTCACACCTCATAGTTTGAAACGTTACCAGTGGGTTATTAGGGTCACGATTAACCTTCCGTACGATTGTGATATTCCTAGTTGATTGACTTTTGAGTCATGAGTTATTGTCATGTTTATTCATTCCTTCAGTCAGGCAGTCATTTCGTAATATCATGTGATAATCACTCATTGTTATTGGCGTTGATTACCTTATGAGCATTTTAAGGGGATTTTTTTAAAAAATTCTTACGAACTTGGATGATAACACAATTCTTCTAGCTTATCCATTTTATCGTGAACTGATTCTCATTAATTTACTTATCAGGTTAACATTGTTGGAAAAGTAAAATTTCAAGTTTTCTATCGAAGCTTTATGAATCTTTATAAACATTGAATATACGCATAAACATAACAATCACGGTTGATATAATTGTAAATTTATGTTTTGACAAAATACATATCATAGTAATGAGTAGTTGAACAAAGTACAATAGAGTACCTTAAAACAATCGCTTTTCTCTGTAAAAATAAAAAAAAATCTATACGAATTCCTTATTCATAAAAAGAATTAATTCAGTTAGTTAATTAAAACACATGTTACGAAACTGTCAGATATGACACATTTCATTATGTGATCGATAGTCAATAACGACGGCTACTCTCTGCTGCTCTAATTCCAGAAGTAATTATACACATATAAAGACGAAGTCTAGGGGAAATAGGTAAATGACAAATATCGATAGTTATAAATCAGTCGTTTAATTCAATTAAATGGTAGGCAAATATTTAGGTTGCTTTATTCGATACCATCCCTTTGTAAATTTCAGCAAAGTATGAAGATCAATGTTATGAGAATAAAATGAATTCATTTTAGATACCTACAACATATAAACGATTTTGGTGACCCAGTATCTGACTCCAGTTGTTTCTTATGATGATTTTTTGTCGAAATATACATACCATCAACCCTCGTTTATGATTAACGACTTATATCGCATTAGTAAATAACGGAATTAAATAAGTCAAATACGTGAATGGATTTTGAATTCGTATATTTCATACAACCTTGGATTTGGACAGACAACCAAGGAAACGGAACGGAGAAGGCGAGTAAGCCAACTCAAGTTAATTATGCTTGACTCGATATTTAGAGTCAATCAAAAATAAGTTACAGGCACATAATGAATGGCGTAATTAACACATACGATCATGTAAACAACATTCAGCATTAATAAGCGAATAAGTGACAAGGTCAAAATGTAGCTTGAGAAGAATGAGTAAACTGGTGTGTCCAGGAGCTAGAATAACCTATGTGGGCTTAATATAGTACCAGCCACTACACGATAATATCAATCGGAATCACGAACTAAGTTAAACAATCATTAATAACACCAAAGTATTGGATAGATGTTTTGTTCTAGTGTGGAATTGTTCAGCAGTGTGCTTTTATGAGCACTCCACAGAGAATCGAAGCCAGGACATTCAAGCTCGCCTCAGATAAAATTTTCCTCGATAATCCCCACGACCCTCAAAATAGTAATGGTACTAATCATTACAATGTGGATTAAATTTTTCATTTGACATATTGTAGATTAAAAAATAAAAGTCACGGAAGAATTAAAAATCCAGTGAAAATATTAATGTCACCAAACAAATGACGACAGTACAGAGAAAAAGGAATCATATTTCAAAATATCATTCACTAAACTTGCAAAAACGTAATTGCAGTAAAATTTACATATGATGGTCTACAAATGAAATAGGTTGCGCAAACAAACAAAAATATTAAAAATTAAAGACAAGTTATTTAAACCATAGAAATAAACAGTAATAATTTATTGAAAATTTCGATAATTTCAATGGTTGAAATCATGAGTCAATTGAACATAGACTACCATGGAAAACCTGGAAGCACTGGACGGCCGCTTCGTCCTACTGTAGGACTTCTCAGCAGTGCACATCCACTATCCCGCCCCCCCACGAGATTCGAACCTAGGATCTATCAGTCTCGAGCCGACTGGCATCCAACGGTGTTAATGTCTAACCTCAACTAACCCACGAAATTGCGCCACCGTACACGATTGTCTTCAGTGAGCTAATATCTCACAACAGACCCGGTTGAACTCCACTGATCACGGCTTCTCACTAGAACTCCAGGAAATGCCTCTTAAAGTCAGTCACTGGTGAGCAGATAATTATTATCAGAAGGGGTTTTGTAAAGATAATTGTTTACTTTACGAATATAGAAGACAAAAGTAATAATTGGCACTAACAAATAAATCTTTGTGTACAAAAGAGTCATGTTTATTTGCTTATTATATTATGACCACAGTCATTATTACTAATCGCTTTCTTATTCTTCATCTTCTATACTCATAGAGTAGACGATTATATTTTGCGTTCTTTTCTAAAAACCCCATAACAGTGCTAACACTGTTAAATAGAGACTCAGTAGTCTGAAGGTTAAGCGTTGAAGCCCAATACCAAAAAATCTGGGTTCAGTTTCAATGAAATTCAACAATCTCCATCAATCCTTACTAATGACATTTGAAAATTTCCGATGAATTTGTAGAATGATGAAACATCTCTTTTTTATTATAAACAATATTGAGAACTTTTAGTGGTTTATTGTGTTTTATGGGTTAGATTATTGAATTGCAGAACTTTCATTGTCATTCTAGGAAACAACAGCCTCTACTTGCATATGCAGTTTCATAAATAAATTAGCTCGAAGGACACAACACTACCAAAAACATCCACCAGAGATGTAAATATTCTTCATCATTTATAAATTAACTACAAGTATAACTCACTCTACAGATAAAATAAAATCGTCGAAAAGAAGTCTATGTAGTGAATTCTTGAAGCTATGATGACTGACAGATTGACAAGACTTTTTAGACGCATAAATTTGATTGATATCTTTTATTAGGAAGGACTTCAGTTATATGCAGATGATTTTGTTTAGAAAGACAATGAACGTCTCAAGATAAAATCAAAGATAATTCATTACACAGGAAACTTGGCGCTAGTATGTGTGATATGACTTAACTTTCTTGATTCCTTTGTCGACTCAATTAAAAATATCAATCTAAATGGTAGGAAAGTGTTGCCATTGGATGTCACTTCTCTCTTTACAAATGGTCATCTCACAGAAACTACTATTCATTCAAAATCGTTGAATAAAACGTTTTACTCAGCTAAGCTCCGATCTGTTTCCTCAAACCTGCCTACCATTCACGGATGTGTTAAGGATAAACTTCCACTTTAGGCCATATCAATGTGCATCTATAAATTTGCTTGCTCATATGGGGCAGGTTATATTAACCGCACAAAGTGATCACTTTCGAAACGCATTACAGAACACTACCCCGTTTGGCATTTAAAAGGAGAATGCTAAACAATTATCAGTTCAATAAGGAACATCTAATCAACTTTGGACACCGATTCAAAGGAGTCTTCTTTTAAAGTAATCTGCACATTCAAATGGATTGGATAGAAAGGAAGTCGAATCAAAATCTTATGCACTACTGATGCATTAGCAATCCACCAACTCAAGCCCGAACTTTGCATGCAAAAAAGATTCGTCCAACTTTTCATCTTTCCTTAGCCCTAATTCCCTTTAGTAGTATGTTTCGTTCTTTTCTCCCTTTTTTATTTTATTATTATTGATTTCTTAAATTAGTGTTTTGTAATTATAAACTGCACTCAGTTATTATTATGATCTTTATGTTTGTCGTTTTTTCTCCATATCTTTCAATTAGACAATTATCTGACCCGTAAATTATTTTCATGCTTATATTATTTTCTTACCCCTTGGTTATTGCGTAGCCTTATTTAATGATAAGAATCTCGAATTAGATGGTGGTTGGAGGTAGTCGACAGCAAACCCTGGAGCCGGGTTTCGTGCTACTTGGCACTCGTCAGCAAGGTGTACCTGTAATATTGAGGGAACTGGTGCCCCCTGACGGATTCGATCTCGTGTCACTCAGCTTCACAGTCAGAGAAGTTACCACTGGGCCATCCGGGCCGCGACCGACCTCCTGTAGGACTGAGATGTAATCACAGTGGTGACGTCTGTGACTGTGAAGCTGGGTGACACGAGATCGAATCCGTCAGGGAGCACCAGTTCCCTTGCTGACGAGTGCCGAGTAGCACGAAACCCGGGTCCAGGGTTTGTTGTCGACTACCCCAACCACCATCTAATCTCAATATATAGTGCCCGCAGTGTCGAGTCACCTAGACTGGTGGTCACATTGCAACATGATCGATAGCATTCGATCTGCACTAATAAGGACTAGATACGCATGACATTGACCGCCACTCAGTGATCAATCAATTGTGAGAAATCTCGAATCAATTTATGATGCAATAAACTTATATATCTTCCATATAACTATAAATACGAATATACAGTTTAAGGAAATGATTTCGTCGAAAAGAAAATTCTCTTTATTTTTATTCAATGGATTATTTTAATTATCTAATTAGTAGTATATCACAGTTTTAAATGACACTATTCATCAGTTATATCAACATGAGAAATATTGTATCAATCTTTTTATTTATTTATTAAAAATTGATTCTAATATGAATAATGATTATAAAACACATAGATTGCTTCTTATTTTATTATCTTATCAAATGCCAGTTTTGTAAACAATAAATAGTAATGTGTTAACCACTAACACAAAAAAAAGTAACAAAATAGTACATGAATATCAGGAGGTAAATTTATACATAAACACACACACACGCTCTTTTACAACTTAAACAGATATAAGTAGTAACAAAATAATAAACATACATGTTGGACAATGAATAATGAAGAACAAAAAAATAAAACTAAACAAGAAAACATACTTTTGAGGTCAGTTGTAAAAAGCTGGGGATAATAAAACAACAACGCTATTAATAATATTAATGAGAATAGAATAAATGTAATATGATATGAAGAATATTGGCTGACAAAACGCACATGTATGTGTATGTGTGTATTCATATGCTTGAAGGGTCTTGTTATTAATAATAATAAATAGTAAGGAAGATCATATTATTATTATTATCCTTAACAGTAAAGTAACGTATATATTGAGACTTAAACGGAATTGCTTTAAGTAAAAATACAAATATAATAGACAAACAAATAACCTGTATTTGTTCCTCATAAACACGGAATAATAATAATAATAACATTGAGAAAAAAAAAGAAAAGAAAATATGAATCATCAGCCGATGATAGATAATATCGGCTGGTCCTTACTTTTCCTCTATTATTACCAAGTACATTTGTGAATATATGACGAATATTTATTAACAAATTTCTTTTGTTTGTTCTTATATTTCTCCTGGTTTACCACATAATAAAGGAACGCCAATAATTAAAGCCAATGGTCCAATATGTCCAATAAAGCGCATTTGTCTGAAGAATTAAAAAAAAAGAAGAGAACAGCAGAGAAAAGAGAAGAAAAGAAACATTAGTAGTGTAGTGTATACTATACGATTATTAATATCTAATTAATGTACTAATAGAATAGAATCACTTTCATATTATGAAAATTATACAACATTAGTGATAAATAATAAAAATATTGAAACTGATGCTTAATTGTTTGATTTATCGAATGTTAAAGATCAAAATCTGGAAATAAATCAAATGATTGTGTTATGATGTCCCGATAAGAATAATAAATGGAACCTTTTGGGATCCATTTATGGACCAATACTATGCGTATATTTTTTATTGTATAATTGGTAATTAACTAAACTATTCATATTCAGGTCCATTTTATTGTGAGTTTTATTTTGACCTATGAACTATTATTATACGATTTAGCATTCTCGAATTATGCCCTGTCTATTAATTACTATCTCCATTATTCACAGCCACATTTGGCTAAATCTTGTACAAATGTTATTTTTCATTTTATGATACGATGTGGTCTCTTTGGTTTGTATATAAACCCAGTATGCTTGAAATAAATGATTCATATCGCAGAGGCTGAGATTGGTGTTCTGAACTTAACTGGCTGGGCTGAGCAGGAAGTACGACCGATAAGGAGTCTAGACTGCTCGCACGGGTTTTACGCGTCATTGGGCCGATCGATAATTCACTGCCCTCTAATTGGCGGTATTGTTACCTTATACATAAACAGAACACACAGGCCACAAGTTATAACAACTTGAGTTGGTTAATTGCCAATGTCTCAGTAGTACATAAAATATTGATTCGACATCCCTTCGATCCAATTCATCTGACTGTATAGATTACCTTCAAAGAAGACTCCTTTAGAGCGATGTGTCCACAGTTGATTAAATACTTCTGTATAGAACTAGTAAAGCCGGATAGTGTTCTGAGATACGTATGGAAAGTGATCACTTTGTGCAACCAATGTAATCTGACCCGTAAATTATTTTCATCATTGTATTTCCTTCTGTACCCCTTGATTATTGTGTAACCTCAGTTGATAATAAGAGTCTCGAATCATGAACATAGATAATTATTCATTGTTTATTTGAATATATATGAATACTTGAACTTGATTTACTAACACAGCTCCCACTCCACTTTTAATCTTTTCAGTCACATACCAGGTCGGGTTACGTATAGGAAGTAGGTATATAGAAATCTAATGGCGGAACAAAATAAAAATCTCCACTTGAGCTAGGAAATCTTCAACATTTCAAAATCGAATGAATTAATACATCAGCTGCATATAACAATACGTGGTAAAATTACAAATAAAATTTCAACGATCATAACAATATCGACTTTTATCCATATTTATAATTTAACTAACCTCCAAAAATGCAAAATTTTATCAGTAGTCAATAGAAGAAACGGTACACCCAAATAATTTAAGCATAACATAGCGCCTAAATTAGTTAGTACATTATAGAAACAATGTAATCCGGATGAACGAAGAAAATACGGCCGGAGATGTTTTCGACAAACTCTACATAAATTTTATTTTGAAAAAGAAAACACAATTCATTTAAATAGTCAATTTATGAAATAATTTGGAAGTTAGAAAATTTTGTAATATCAATTAGTCCGTTGAATGGAATTTTACCTGGATATTATAAATCAGTAATAAGTGAATATTCTGGTAGAAGATCAACCACTGAAAACCCAGACGGTAAAAGTTGTTTCTTGTTAGAATCTAAGAAAGGTCAAGGTATAATAGAAAGCAGTGGCAGATAACACATGCATTACTGTGTTCGCATAGTACAACCATTAGAGTGAAGTAGTATTCAATCTGTGTATTACTTCGGAAACTTAGTTATGAGTAATATCCTAATGAGTAGGCAAGGAAGATAATGATTGGTTGTTTGCTTCATCAGATTAGCAGGTAGTCTGACAGGTGTTAGATAAGTCATATATTCCCCTACCCATATTATTATTATGATCGTTGTCGGTTTTTGGTCTGGAAATATACTTACGTTCTAGTCAGGCTAATCACGTGTTTTGACCTGAATTGTGTTGACGTCCTGTAGAACAGATACTGGGAGTGCATTTAGTGTAGATATTGATCTAAGGCAAATTAGCGTCCCATTTTTGTAGACGGTAAACTGAGCGTTATGACACACCCAGTGTGACAGGAATGTACGATACTATTAGATCAAAATTGTTGAACTTGAGATGATTTTGAATCTAAAGTTGCATTATTCGATATTATATTAACAAAACCTAGATCGTACTGAACTAAGGCGTAACCATTACTTTGAAGCCCCTATCCGTAGCTATTCACCTCAGCAATAGTTCAATTTAAAGTAAAAAAAGTTGGAGATCCTACTAACGAACAAAACATGTCATAGCGAATATATCGAACACAATATTTATAAATGACTATAGACTATCGGTCGCCTAAACAGCATGACCACAATGTTTCGAGTTGATAGACCAGAAAGAACGAATACATGTTTGAAGGTATTCTGTATTTAAGTACAAAGAAATAATTGATGAGTATGACTTTTTTTAATGCTTTGGTGGAAATCCGTTGAATACACAATTCTTTATTGGGTGTATTATGTTTGTTGACTCCAGATTACTTAATAATACAACAACTAGAAGAATAGCCAATGTAGTTACTTTGTGAATAATTTTTCTGTTATGGCCAAATCGATTCACAATCATGTAATTTTTATTGAATGTATGATCGTATTTTTATGTTATTGATTCATTTCCTCTCATTCAGTTAACTGACAAATGTTATAATTTTCTAGGATCTATTTGGTCAGCAAATGCAATATAGTTTCCTAAGTAAACTATTCATTCGATTTCAAAAGGTTGGATATTTATCGACTACACTATATTCACGATAGAATTTTAGTCAGTGAATCACAACGTAGAACTTGTACGTATGTACATCGGTTCATGTTGGCACACCGAGATGAAATCGCCAAACCAAATCACAGAATGGTAGACATACTAACAGTATCAGTGGTAATAGAAAACATTAGGCATCTAATACACAACTTGAAAAAAAGTATATATATCAGTGAAATAAAATTTTAAAAAATTATGAGGAATTTACAATCTTAGACATCTATGATCAAACACCAGTGACATCCGAATATCTTCTATTTTTAATGGTCATGTTTTACACCCATAAAGTAGGACGGAGCGAACTTGACAGATATCTCGCTTACACCACAAATGACGCAAGTTGGCAAAAAGCAATTGAGTCTACTGAATTCGTGCTGAGATTTCGTCAGACACCAGACTTTCACGACTGATGAGAGCACCGAGATCAGTAAAGCGTTCAACTACTTCACACCCTATCACTAATTCAGGCGACGAAGTAAACCACTCCCGAAGTAGCATTTTACATTTGCAGAAAGACGCACCCCAATCATGCTTGGATTGTTGTTTAAGGTCTGAATTTTGTCAGCGTCTTCACAAAACAGAACTATATCATCTGCGTATTCCACATCAAAAAGTGAATATCCTGGTAGAAGATCAAGCCCTGAAAATTCAGACGATGAAAGTGTTATCACTAAAAGCATGTCTATGACAGTGTTAAATAAAAATGGAGAAAGATGGTAACCTTGAAAAACACCACTTGAAGTAACGAATTCCGATGACAGTTCGTCATTAAGCTCTGCTCTGACTCAACCAGTAGTGTTTGAGTAGGGTGTCTGTACAACGTTAATGTACTTCTTTGGAACACCTTTCAATGACAGATACTGCCACAGAACCTTATGGTCAACGGAGTTGGTTACCATATTTATGTCAAGGAATACAACTATAATTGGACGTCGAAAAGTATTTCTGTGTTCCAGAATCTATCGAAGGGCGTATAGTTAGTCTACAAATATACTTCCAGGTCTGAATCCAACCTGGATCTCTCGAGCTTGCTCTTTAAGAGCTCTAGTTAGATATCGAAGCATTATTAAGGTTAACATTTTAAACACTATATTAGTTAAACTGATTTCTCTGTGATTGTCACAACGGGTGTTTAGTCCTTTCTTATAAACTGGAGCGATCTGCAACCACTGAGACCAGTCAGATGGGGGGGGAGTGTACGTCTAATCCCCAGTATCATGCAAAATTTCAGTTAATTTAACTACTAAAACTGGACTACCATGCTTAAAAATTTCAACGGTTAGTCTATTAGGCCCGGTTTTGCTTGAGATTATTTATAGCCTTTTCAACCGTACAGAGTTGGAGGACTTACATTATAGAACAAACAATACGTCAACCATATAGAAATACAGATTATATGAACTTATATTGTTCAGACAGGTACATGTATATTGTAATATGAAAAAATAAGAGTTACATAATTTCGTATAATACCTTTAAACTTAATTATATATATATATATATAATAGGTTGAAATCATGAGTCAGTTGAAGCTAGACCGCCATTGTAAACCTGGAAGCACTGGACAACCGTTTCGTCCTGGTATGGGACTCCTCAGCAGTGCGCATCCACGATCCCGCACCACGTGGATGCGCACTGCTGAGGAGTTCCATACCAGGACGAAACGGTTGTCCAGTGCTTCCAGGTTTTCAATGGTGGTCTAGCTTCAGCTGACTCATGATTTCAACCTGTGAAATTTTTAAAACTCTCCACAAAACCCATTCTGATATAATTAATAAAGAGAGAATAGAAGTTCATTAAAAAATCAATAAATAAATAAAAATTACTAATTTTTTTTACATAAAAAAATTATGATAATCACTATGCTGGTAATACCAAAGATAATTCACACTAAACAGTAAATACTTCTCTTTATAGGTTATCATTATCACGTGATGTTTATTCTTTCTTCTTTTTTATTTATTTAATCAATGAATGACCTTATAAGAAAAATCACTCGATACAAAATAGAAGAGAATAACCATTAGAAAATAATAAATAAATAAAAGAGGAAACAAACTATATAAAACTTTAAGCATATATACACAATTGTAGATTGAACTTGTCATAGATTGATTTTGATTGTGAGGTAATATTGAGAATTATAGAATACTAGATAGCTATTTCATCTTAGTGAAAAGCTTCTCAACAGAATGCATCTATGATTCGACCGTGAATCGAACTCAGGACCTTATGAATCTTATGACAAACATTTAACCAGTGAAATCAATAGATCAGTGTCTAATTGTAACTTTGATTGATTTACGGATATAATGCACCAACCACCTAATGTCATTGATGGCAACATTTTCCAAAACTAAAAATCACGACTTCTTATAACGTTTCTCCACACCAACCTTATGAAGTGATTAAAGTTGAAAATGTGAAACAGTGGATTTTAATTTGGAAGATCAGAAGTTAAGTACCAACAGCTAGACCTGAAAGTTTAGAGGTTGGATTGTAGACGTAATTCAAGATACTCATACTAGGACGAAACAGCCATGTTTACCGTTACATGGTTTCGGATCGTATCCGAACTGAAGTAAGTCTGTGATGAATATATATGATTATTAAAATCAACTAATCTTTTAAAAAATCAAATCACAAGTAAGAGGGAAAAATCAATTATCATAAATTTAATGCAACGACGAACTGATCTCAATTGAACAACTATCGAAAACCAGGAAGCATTGGGCAGTTGTTCCGACTTTGTATGGGACTCCTCGTCAGCACACATCCACGATCCCACTGATATCGTCAATTAAAAAATAACGTTCTAACTAATTCATTACTGAAACAGCGAACAGGATCAGTCATACATTAATATACAGTCACTCGGTCATAAAGAAGTTACAAACGTGATTCAGTATAAGTTTTCATATATCACATCAACACATTCAGAGGTGAATTGCAAAATATAACGCGAACAAATAGAAACGGAAAACTAAACATGAAGATTGCATTTTTAAAAAGCACAAATGGAAATTAGGAGTGAAAGGCGTGAAATAATATTATGATACACGATCTCGAGGAAACTAAAGGATGAGGTCATTTAAGGTACTGAGACTGGTATTATCGAATGAAAGAAAATGGCTGAAGTGACATGATAACTATAACAAAAGTCTACAAAGTTTGAAATGTCAGTCATTAATGTAGGAACTGAAACGAATATGCATCGGTTTGGATTTCCACATCTTATATCAACACATCAAGACGGGAAATTAACAAGATGAGTGGTAAAGGGGAATAATTAATTTCAACTGTAATCGAAATCTAAACATAAGAAACATAATTCGAAAGGAACAAGAAGATTAGAAATAACGCAAGACTAAAGATATAAAGATTAAAGAGTGATTTCAACTGTACTCCTGCGATCGATTTTCCAACACATTACAAAACATTTCTAATAACTGATTATAGTTATTGTGCAGGCTCAAATCAGAGAGTCTACAACTATTCACATTAGCAGTGGATGACTTCAGTAACTTATGCCATTTCGTCAACTGTTCGTTACTGGTCTGTTTTAAATCTATTATAATACCAACCACATTTGTAAGTCGGGTTAGATTGTGATCAAGTACGCTCATATTGATATTGAAATAATAGATTTGCAGCTTACTTCTACCTAAATTTTTTCTCATGTTTTTCGGAAGAACACTGAAAGGTTCGCGACTAAACCACTGAGCTCAGAGAACGAAATTCCACCAAAGTTTGGTCAGGTTCACGCAAAATATGTAGTAAAACCCTTAGTTGATGAAGGTTTATAGTAAGGACAATCAATATTTTCTGAATACTAAACTGTTCTTTCTTGCTGAAATTGTTCACTACTGCTACTAGTACGGCTGTTGGTTATGGCTGCAAAAGAACTACTTTCTACTATCTAGTAGATGGAACTAATAACGAGTTCCAAAGAAGTATGAATAAATAAAGTTTGTGTGAACCACCATAATACAGAATGTGTCAACATTAGAATTTGACAAAAACAAGCAAAAGAAATGTTTGTTCCAGGGTTATTTTTGTGCAAGAATATCAAATGTATTACAATTTTATCCATTTTATCGAAAACTTGAAACAACATACTTCTATCAATAATTAACCACTATCCTTATTCAACATCCCAATGAAGGTGTAGAGGCAGAAGAAAAAAACTGTAAATAGGTACACTTATCAAAATTATCGTCCTCCCCTCTAATTTTGTCAAAGATAAATATCAGCCGAAGAACTAACACAGATCAAAAACTAAATATTTATATAACTCTAATCTGGAATTTGTTAACAATGTGCAACTATGACCTTAAGAGGACTTTAGCCAAGAACTTTTAAATCACATGGTAAGCATATCATGAGAATCACAGAAGGAAAAAGAAAGAAACGGTCTTACAAAATATTTCTACAAAGTTTACTTGGTGCACTCTTCAAAAAAGTCGAAATAATTACAAATGCGGTCTGACAGGGATTTGTTGAGTAAATAGTAAACATAAGATGGATAATATTGAATGTATTCAACATAATATATATAAAACGTTTACTTGATAAAAGCTATAATTATCACATGTTTCTAACATAATCTATAAATATTTAGAAAGAAAGCTCTGTTATAAATAAATGTACTAGAAGAATGAATTTTAATATATATGAAATTAATGATCTTACTATTCTATTATGTAATAATTCATTTTGTTATTATTAGTATTATTTATTTACTTTTGAAACCACCCATTTTGAGTGTACAACAAAGCTAACTTCTCAACACATACAAATGATGCATTCATCTCAACAATATTATGTAAAAGTTTTACACTCACATTAAAACCTCATCAAATATGTCAATCTAGTCGATTTACACTTAAAAAAATGATGAATTGATCTTATTCTCAATGTATCACATGCTATTCTCAACTGTGATCAGAAAGAGAAAAAAAATAAGAAGGATATTCCAAAATGAACAAGGCAAACACACATTTTGGTAAGACATATTGTTTCGATATCTGATAAGTCTATTTTCAAGTACAGTCTTACGATTGGAAAAAAAAGAGTTTCAAAACAATAGTTACCTTTTTCCATGCACTAATATTTTATTGAAGCGTTTGGTTATAGGTAGTGTGAAATACAAGAAAATGAAAGAGAAAATTGAAGAGGCCCATTTTTTCCAGCTTAGAACTTATCAGTTGAATGTAATTACAATCTTTTGTTGATATGATAGTCATATTGAAACTTAAACTATCTAATGCTTTAAATATCAGAGGGCTATTCAAAATACCGTCCACTATTTAAGCAATTATGATCTATATTATTATATTTGTCATAGTTTGTGTCCTCTAGTAGTTGATATTTACGACTAATTATTATCAGTCACTACACTATAAATATTGCTTTCCAGTGAATAAACAAATAGTTACAAGTGATCAAAATGATGCCTTAATTTGTCTCCTACACAAATACATACTAGTTTTAATTTGGCAAACATGATCATTTAAAGCTATCTGACTGGGAGACAAGAAAGTGATCTTCATATGCAAAGTGTTAATTGATATTTTTATAATTGCAATTAGATAACTGTGAAATCTGACAAATGTTGATCAAACATGATTATATATATATACATATATATATCACTTTTATTAAGTTGTATCACTTCAAGATCAAATAACTTCTGTATTCTAAATCTCTATCCTGTTCTTTGTAGGTAGTACACATATGATGGGACACTGTCGAACGAGAATAATCATAGTAGTTCTATGTGCAACTTGCTCAAACTTCCAGCTCAATTATTTCCTAACTTTGTAAATGCTACAAATTTTCCAGTTTTTGATTCATTTTAATTGACTAATAGTTCATGTTAACCGCCTAATATGTAAACAAATGTTTTAATTGAAACTTTCTAATTTAATACAGATAAATTCAAGTTGAATTTATCATGATCGTTGATGCATTTTTCTTCTTCTCAAAAAGTGTTTGAATTGAAATTCATGCATCAAATATATCACGCAACGGAAGAAAAAAACAAGTCATTAGAGTGAAAATGGTTAAAAATGTTTGATGTTACATGAAGGACATGATTTTTTATACATATAATTCGAATAATAATAGGTTAAATGGATATTAAAAGGAATTTCGCTGTAATATAACATATCTGCATTGAGAATTCTTCGATACAATTAAAATTATGGTTTTGAATAAAATGACTACTAATATTACTCAATAAACATAAGAACTTTAACTGTGAAACATATCTTCATATATATATATAGACTTCGTCAAGATTTTCTGTTTAAGTCTCAAAAAGGTTTGATAGGAATACTTTTGTATTTATTTGAAAGGAAGATATCCACCTAGAGAGACAATAGATCAGTTGAAGTTGCAATAATACACAATCAAGATGGCTTTAGTATGAAAAATCTGAATGTATATTCAAACCGAAGGAGCAACTTTGAAGGGTGAACATATTTATAAGTAATTTTTTACAAAAAAAGTATTATATCTGGTAAAACGTAAGGTTCAACTGATAGAACCATCAGGTGGAACAGAACCGATAACTGCATGACATGAAATCAATGTCGTGTGACCAGAAAACACTTTAGTTATGCCCTGTATGTATAAAATAGAGAGAACACACTAATGAGTATCAAACTAGAGAAAATATCAGCTTTGCAGTTCCTAAAGTTTCACAATAAAAACGAGGTCAATATGAAATTAAATCGAATATAACAAGTAAACTCTTCGTTACCACTTCAAAAAAAGCTTAAACTAACCTTCCTGTCACTGTGATTAGAGCTGCAGATACAAAAACTAGATAATAACCTGGATAGAAACCATGCCACATGGCTGATGCAACGAAAACTGCCCAAACAGCATAACGTTTTGGTACACGATCATATATACATTCACGTAACCAACGTGTTGTTGCTGTATTCCAAGAATCTAAGATTGTTTTTGTACTTGTACCAAGCTTAAGAAAATATAGATAATCATTTCCTCATAATCAAATACATAAACTGTTTTAATATACTATAATCAATAAAATAGGTTCTAGAAAGAGAAACAATAGTGGCACGTAAAGTGAAGCATGTTTCAACAATGATTTGAAAGTACTTTTGAACGTGAACTGATATTAACAGAAGAGTAGCTAAAATCACGTAAGAACTGAATAGGTGCTTTTCGGAAGTGTGCACCTACAATGTAACACCATATAAGGTTAAAGGAAAGATCTATACACCTCATGGTAAACACAACACGTTTAAATTAAACTATGATGATCGAAACGTGAAGACAGTCAAAATAAATATTCAAGCAAAATACTCATAAAATTGAAGGTCAACAAAACGAACAACCAGTTATACATGAAGAAATTCTTACAGATCATTTCTGTCTGAAATTTGTTTTGATGATATTATCTAGAAAGACAAGAAAAGCTACTGACCTAAACTATCCAACTTAGAGAATACAAATTTACCAGAAATATTTAACTCGCTTAATAAGAATCAAATAGTTGTAGCAAATTATTGTGATGAGAAAAAATTTCTTTTCAAATGTTTTATTTTTAATTATTTAAATACATAAACATTGGTACAAGGAGGCACCAAATACATATGTGCCATACAGATCTCATTTGATATGTGTGAGGGCTGTGATACTACCCGGGTGCCCAAACCGAAACAGGTGGTTTTCTTAGGGGGCCACACCCAGAGCCTTTGACCTAAAAGTCTGGTCCACAAGACAGTGGAGCAACGTCAGGTGACGCAGTTACATAGTAGTCAGTGACCAACAATAGGTTCATACGCCATTTGTTCCCTCAGGATCCTGGAGCCCATGTGCACTATTGGTTTGAAATCACGGTTTTCCAACTCCCCCATGTGAATCCATCATATCAACCAACCTGCTTAAAGCACCGGACATTCGCTTACCGTCCTCTCAATTTCGTAGACAACACCCCCGCCACTAGAAGACAGTGAGTAGGACTTCCCTGGCAATGTTTGTATATATGTGGCCATGTGAGAGCATTTCGAGTGGGAGAGCTGACTCTCCCCACTCTTAGCCGTACCAGAACATTTTCAATTGTACACAATTCTCACAAAACTATGATGATTATGGTGACAAAAAGTAATAAAAATGGTAATAATATTATTATTGGGGTATTAGGAAATGATTGTGTCAATTTTCCCTATTTTTAGCAAAACTAATAGTTGGGCAGTAAATAGTTACACTTATAATCAGTGACAATTATAAAGGATAATGATAATAATAATAATAATGATTTTTAATGAAATACTGAATATCACATATCTACTAATTAGCATAAAACGAGTGATTAGGTAGTGTATTCTTAACTACATTGCAATAGGATAATTAATCAATAGACTGACTACATTCAAAACTTTTTATTGTCATAATGTCATCAGTTGATCCTATTAATACTAGTACAAAGATGGGTGAATGATGATCACACAGTTGCGTTTACTTCTTCATCGTTAGAAATTGAATGCATTTTGTAAATAAGTAAAATCCAAGAACAAAAAACAACTGAAAACCTATACAATAAAAAAAAATAGAGGAAAGAAGTTTTATCCATATCTTATTGATCTATTTTTCGAAGAAACCGTGACCTGAAGATTATTTACTGGTGCGATTCAATAACGTATCCAAATTCTACTTCAGTCAGTCAATCACAACGTAGAACTTGTACGTATGTACATCGTTTCAAATCGCCACACCCGTTAGCACACCAAGATGAAATTATCAAACCAAATCACAGAATGGTAGACAGCTAACAGTATCAGTGGTATTAGAAAACATTAAGCATCGAATACACGACTTGAAAAAAGTATATAAATTAGTGAAATAAAAACAGAAAAAATTATAAGGAATTTACAATCTCAGGATTTACGAGAAGACAAACAATGGATGCACCTGCTCTATTCCAAACGATTTTTAGCCATTTCATTCAAAGTCTCTAACCACTGATTACAATAATCACGCGGAACCCAATCAAGTAGTCTATACTTATCTACATGGTCAATTCCAATTGTCAGTGACTTCTTGGATTGATGTCATGTTTTGGTTTGGCCACCTCAAGCCTTCTTCCATACTACTCCTGCAATAGAAAACATCGACTGTACGGTATCTATCCATATAAGAACGTAACGGATCTTAATAATCAAGTATTGTTGATGTTAAAATAATTAGATAATCATTGAAAACTAGAGAGCATCGGGTAGCCGTTTCACACATACTAGTAATAGATTTCTCAGTAGTGTGTACATTTGACACTAAGATTTTGTGGTGAATACATTAATTACACTTTGAGACCACCACCGCTATGTTGATATTCAACGGATCATAATCTAAACACATACACAAACTTGGATTTGTCGACGAGAATCCAATATTATATTTCAGTTTTATTGGTGATAATTATCTCGCATTTGATATAAAATATTTAAGTTTTTTTATAACATTCATCGTCCTGTAAACTCGAATGAACTATTCATAGAATTTCATAGATTCGATTCACGTAAATTGTACTGTTCATCTTTTCATAATCAGAACCGTTTTGCCTACTAAATACTTATTTATTGACAGAATGTGTAAATATCTAACAAAACAAGGAATATCCTTACCTCAATAGGCAAAAAGTAAATATTAGTAGCCAGACGATATTCCGGTTCGCCTTCACTATTAAATCCAGAAAATCCAAAACCTGCGACTAAATTTGATAGACAACCTAATAAGGAAATAAACAAATAAGTATATATATCACTCGTCATGCAGATGCATCAAGTCTAGGTAATTCACATAATGTTATTGATAAGTCCATAACTGATTCACAAGTAAGTTGGAATCAAGTAGTTTAATTTATTTATTTGAACATATAAACATTGGTACAAGGGGGCACCAAACACATATGCACCACACAATAACGACGAGGCCAGTAGTAGTTACCACTCATTTGTGTGAGTGTGATAATATCCGGGTGCCCAAACCGAGGCAGGTTGTTTTCTTAGGCAACCACGCCCGGAGGCTTCGACCTGAAGACCTAATCCACAAGGCAATGGATCAACGTTAGGGGGCGCAGTTTCATGGTAGCCGGTGACCAACATTAGGTTCATACGCCATTTTTCCTCAGGGTCCCGGAGTCTATATGCATCATTGGTTCGGAATCAGGGTTTTCCGAATAACCTAGATGGACCCTCCGTATCCACCGGCCCGATTAAAGCACCGGACATTCACTTTTCGTCCTCTTAATTTCGTAAACAACAGTAACGCCGAGAGAAGACAATGAGTAGGACTTCCCTGGTAGTGGCTGTATATGTGAGTCCATGTGAGAGCATTTCCAGAGAGCTGACTCTCTCTACCCTCAACCGTGCCAGGGTATTTGGGAGCTGAATCAAGTAGTAATATTAAACAGCAGAAATGCAACTGGATGCATTTAACAAAGTATATATTAGGAAGAATCATATGAATCCCACAACTTTCTACCTCAGATTTTAGATCCTGAGTAAATAGAAATTTAATCGATTCATAATTGTGTTCTAAACTATAGCATCAGTCAAGAGTTGAAACTATGACAACTGAATCGTACCAGCTCATAGTAATGAAATATATCATTAATGATTGGTCACTGGCTAGCAATAGCTAAGATCAAGCTTGTCTAGTGAAAGTAGAGTCCTGTCAATCAAATTGCAGTAAGGTTTATAAGTATTAGCGTTGCGATATCGCGTACACTATATTTTGATATCAATGGGTTGAAGACAATCGGCAGGGTCCGCGTGATTTGCGACTCTTCAGCAAGACACATCTGCAATATTGAGAGGAGTGATGTTCAAAACGTGGGATTCAAATGACAAATATGCCTAAGGTTTAGTTGTGTTGACTTCATCTAACCATTTAACATCAAAATACATATCTATCATGAGGTAATGTATGAAGCTCAAGTGAACGCTATTGTTTGTATGGTGTTCTCTGAGTAAGACTGTTTAATTACGGAGCTTTCATTGTCGTTCTGGATAAAATTAACTACCAATTACGTGTAATGTCAGTTCTTTTTGAAATATTTGTTCCTGGTCAATTATTTTAATAAATTTCGCTGTCTTCATTTGTTTTCCCTTTTATGGTGACTGTCTTGATTGGTTGACTTCTTACATATTGGTCATAAAAAAACTGGAAAGCTCACTTTCACATGAAGTAGGTACTGGTGATTTTGCTCAGAATAGTAATGAAAGCCCAGCAATTTAACTTTCTAGGCCAGAGAAAACAACACCAACATACCTATCTAATGGATGTAGGCAAATAAAGCTTCTGAAGTACCTATTTCTTTGGTCCAAAAGTTCATAACTGGAAAATTAATCTCATGTTTAAAACACAGTATCAAAGTTACACACCCAACTCTCAAAGTAAAATAAGAAAAAAAACCGAGACAATAATTAAGCAAAGTTCACTAGTCACCGTGAAGTGAAAATTAATATTACTTACTTAGAGTCCAAGCAAAATAGAACTTTTGACGAAAACCAAAACACGCGATTGACAAGTAGATAAATTTTTGAAAGTAATTCTTTTTTGCAAAACTTTCAGCTGATGGGTAAGAAGGGAAGAAAATACGTATATAAAAACTATAAATCACAATCATAATGTAAAATCAAGACGACAAGTGCGAAAATACTTCAAGGACTCTGCTATCTCATTAAATGCAAAATATGTCGCTCAAATCTATCATCACAGTTACTTGATTACACACTTTTAGGACCGACTATATGTGACATTAACTGGATGTAAACAAATTAGAACACAACGAAATGTGACACGATCGTACAAACATTGGGATTGTTTGAATAAATTCGCATGGACTTAACTTTCCTTAAACAAATAACTTCCTGAGAACTGAATTTTTCTGACTGTCATTTACATTATTTCATCATAAATACCATCAAAGCATTGTTGTTCACGTATAGTGAAGCTACCAAGTTACTAAGTTACTAGATATAGTATACTGTTTCATGAAGTACTGAATTTCTATCGACTGAAATGATGATGAAAAGTATTGGATACACTTAGGTACAACATACTCCGACGTGTTAAGCTAGTTAGTGTAGGGAGTGTGATTAGAAAACTATTTTCAACCTATTGAAAAATATTTTACTGTTTATCATGACCTGAATCAGTCGTAAAACAGAATGCAAAAATGTTATGACGGACGTTAAGGACTTATCGTCAGTGACGTCAGGAAACAATATTTATAACAATAGTGTAACGAAATCGATACATATATATGAACTAGAAAGTGGCTTACATAGAAATTCCTCGGGTTTAAAACTATGAAAGGACCATAAGACTAATATAGTATGAAGTAGTAGAAGTTTTACCTGTTTCCATTTCTCTGCCTAGAGAAAAATAGGAACGAAAGGAAAAGTAATTTTTTAATTAGAAAAAGAGAATGTAAATTTTCATATACTAGACATCATACAGTTATTTATTACCCAAACCACGGTTTTATATGATTTTTTAAGACAAGAGCTATCATAACAACCAACACTAGCCACTCAGTCATTATCAATGTAGAGTCTGTCACAAATGTCCGTTGGCCCATGTTGCCATATCACATTGTTGAAAATAACAAGATCAGTGGCAAAAGAGGTCGAAATAATGTAGTGGTGATGATAGGAAGAAAAACTAAACATTGGTAATATGATTTGGAAAGTGGAAATGTAAGTATGAAGGGATACTGAAATTTATGATTGAGAGGATGAATATATTTCCCAACCACTGGCTTTGTCCAACTGCTGGTGACTTTATGAGTTGGTTTCATGTCGTGATTCGGACTGCCTACCCCTCTTCAAACTCTTAAACCAAAATGGCACTAGGTAATCAGTGGTTAGGTATACGTAACATGTCTTGAGTGCACCTCAAATCATAAAGGCTTTCAATCTCACCAACCGACTACCCACCTTCGTCTACTACCCTGTGCCCAACCTCAATGTTGCTTACGCGATATATGAGTAATGTATTGAAGATAAATATGATCAAAAGCCTCCAACTTACACGTCTTCTAATTTTACAGACACAGATTAGTACAGAATGCAACGCTGCTCAATAAACCCGGGCTTCACTTATAAATAACATACTATATATAGTGGGTTGTTGGAAAGCCATCGAAACAAGTATTTCAAGATGACACTAACTGGATCATCATCACTGTTCTCGAACATGTATTTATGAACCTTTGCACACTGGCGCACTGTACAACAGATAGATTTGATTGTCTTTGGAAAGTCTGGAAATCGATGTGCGCTGCATATTGTCAAGTTAGACACCATTATTATGGAAAATGTAATTTTTATTGTTTTCACTAGAATGTCTGTTGTACGTGATGGATCATTGGTTAGTCTACTTTAGTTTCAATCAATAAAGAGCGTATTTGAACCGTGTACAAACTATTTTGGTTTAGAAAACTGAGTAGTAGTATCATTAGCTTTCATAGAAGTGCGACACAAAGCCGAGTATACATAATTATATTTGGCGAATGAATTGCACTATTTAATATATGCGTAAATCGAAGTTTGTGAGTTTACGTATTTATGTATTTCCATTAATTCATTGATTCTTCTGTACGATTATTCTAACTTAATCCCAAGTGGCTGGGAACAATCTGTAAGAAGATCTGGATATAAATTTCTGTTTATTTGGCACTTATAAGCAAGTTGTATCAGCATTCTTGAAAGAACTAATATTTTTCATGAGTCTCAATCTTACATCAATGAGTCACATTAGAAGATGTAATCACTGAAATAATCGGACTGTAAAACTAACCATATATAGAGTTAGCATGTGTAAAGTGATTAATTATCTACTTAGTAGTAACCAATATCATGTATTGTTTAGTACGTAACAATAATTGAATTCTATCGACATGAAATGTTTGATAAGAAAGGAGACGAATAGTTACCACAATAAATCGATTTAATGAGTTTAAAGACATATAGAGCGAATCGACTACTGTTATTTACTTTATGTTAAGATTATTAAGTAAAAATAACGAGAGCGTAGAGAAAATTTTAAACAATAGACGAACTGCTTCAGTTTCGACGAATACTTATCAAAAGTGGTCAATTAAATAGATTTATTGACAGAAACTTAACACTAAAACTACAAATTGAAAGATCAACAGCAGTTCAATACAAAATAAATTTTAAAATCCTTGAGGAAGACTTTATACTCAGCTAAGCTTCGTATTGTCTTCATAACCCGGGCCACCATTCATGGATGTATCGAGAGTACAGTTTCGTTTAGGGTCACAACAATGTGCATCTAGAAGCTTACTTGTTCTTGCGGAGCAGGTCACATAGGCCGCAAAAAACAGACCCTTTATAAACACATTGCAGGATATTACTCGGTATGACTTTTAGGAGGGGAATTTAAAACACTGAATAGCTTAATACAGGAGCAACTCATCAACTTTGGCTACGTTGCCTCAAACAAATCTTCCTCCAAAATAATCTACATAATGGAAAGAATAAGATCAAAGGGAGGTCGGATTAAGAACTTACGTACTGCTGAGGCACTGGCAATTCAGCAACTGATGCTTGAACTCTATTTAAAAGCAACATTTTCAACCATTTATACTTCCATGGCATTAATGTCATTTTCCAGTGTGCTTTAGTCTTGCTTATGTTTTGATTTCTATTTTGTACAATTCATAAACCGCAATCGGTTATTACTATCCTCTAATACTTTCTTATGATTATCATCCAATTGTTACTATGACCTTAGAGTTTTTCATTTTTCGTCATACATGTCAAGTGGACAACTATCTTTTATAATTAGAACCAGTAAATTATTTTCACATTGCTTTTTGATTCATCTCTTTTTATCTACCTAAAGGCACATATTTAGCAAACAACTATAGACACGAATGTACAGTTTGAGTAAACGATTTCGTCTAGAAGATAATTCTCTTTACTGAGTTCTTGCTATTTTTATTTAGTGATACAATGGGTTGCCTTAATTTTTTCATAACTTAATCTATCATACGGTAAATATGTTGAAACAAATAGGACTGTATGTAAAGTGGACAAATGTTCAAAATCAACGTTACTATTAATAGCAGTGCCGTACTACATACTTTTTTCATGATAACTTAATTACAATGAAACAGTAATAGCGGGAACATTTTGCGCATACTTACTTTAGCGGAACGTATCGCCTCCTTGTTATCCTCCTAAATTTAGAAATACATATTAGGTGTTACAAATAAAATAGCACAACAAAACGTTAGGACACTAATAGTCAGCAAGTTTAACCCTAAAAATCTTGCAGAAACAGAATTCGAGAATCTCTAGGCAACATTAAATATTTTACGAATTATACATGACTTAAATATGATAGAAGATTAGTAACTGCACACATGATCATACTTTATGTCTGTTAACTTGTTTAATGATATTTATCATTTCAATAGTAAACATTCAATGTACAGTATAAACATTTGAACACATTTTACTTTTTATTTCTATTTTATAGCTCACTGAAATGACTGATTGTAGGAATAATCAATTAGTGATATACACGACAAACTTCAAACCATAGTTGCTACCTTGAGGTGGTCAGCGATGACTGTTGACATAATCTAATCGATCTAAATTGATTAGAACGCTAATCCGTTGATATTTGACCGCCTGCTACGTTAGCAAAAAATTGAACCTTTTAAACGATCCTATATGAAGTTATGGTTTATAATTTTTTTGATGAATATTAATTACTTAAACGTATATTTTTTTATTCCCGTACTTGCAAACTTTTGTTTGACACGCAAACTAAAATTGCGTGTCATACATACTGCAAGTTACTGTTAATTTATCACGGACTTAGCATTTAATTTTCTTCCATTTAGGGGACATTCGTGAAAATATTTCAGTTTCTTGATTTAGTTATGTGCTCGGGATTTCGTTCTATATGAGTGTGAGTGATTCATAAATTTGAACTGCACAATTAGAAGCTATCTACTTGCCGAATCGTATTCTATTTAGGCTATCGGAGTGTTGGAAACTGTATTCTGGACCAATAAGTCATCTAGTGTTACTCTTAGCTCTTATCTCACATTTATCGTATCATTAGTTAGCCGAAGGTCATTGGTACTAGATAGCCTCAGAGAGCTAACCAATACTCGGATTATAACAATACAACTGCTCACTTGCCCTATGGTTCGATATCATGAACCTCGAACAAACTAAACAATAAAATCTGTTTATTTCCTCAAACATCACTATACCGAGCAAATTAATTGGATAGCAAGCAGCTACTTTAAGGAACGAGTGCAACAGTATACTACCATTACAACTGCGGAATGAAAGTAGTGAGAGGCTCCCCAAGAATAACTGAGAATTTTGTCAATGTCACCTTCCTAAAATCTAAAAGAGAGGAAACATAAAACATTGATACTAAGAACAACACACTGCTTTTCTCCACAGGATTTCCAGTTTGAAAAATACGAGTATTTTCGAGTTTTTCCGGAATCTAGTATATCAGAAACCACTTACAAAACGTCGTGGACCAATGACCTCAAGTAGCCATCCCTTAGGTAATACAAACACGCTCCCAGATGGACACGGCCTCTACTACTTACTCCCATTTTCATTGCAGATCATTGAAGAACCATCCTACTTACGACCTTGACAGAACTCGAGTTCATACAACTGCTATTTCTTAAAACTGTAAACTGATTACTCCGGAGATATCAATATTTACGTCGAAACTTTTGATTATTGACAGTAGTATAAAAATTTATTCTCTAACAGCAATGGTTAGTATTGATTTTTCTATGGATTACTATGTGACTAAAAGGTATAGAGAAATTACATAGTAACTAATGGTTAGTGGAGAATATATTTCATTTGGAATTTAAATTAGGACAACTAATTACCCACATGTACAGTAATTACCTTGAATGTAAGCGCTGAAAACATACTGTTACGGCAAGTATCAAATTTTAAAAGACTTAAAAAGTGGATATCGATTTTGGCTAATTAGATTTCCAATTACTAAACTAAATGAACATAAATGAAAAGGCTACTACGCTTTGTAGAACTTACGAATCGCTTTTTATCAGTTTCATCAATGAGCTGATCTGATTCTTGACCCTGAATAAATCTCATATAATCAGCAAAAAAACTGAAGGGGCCAATCATTACATTATGAAACGAGAATAAATATCCACCGAACTGGAGGAGACGAGGTCGACGTCTTAAGAAAATATGCAAAAAATAGTCAAAAATATTGAATTCTGAAGAATTAAACAATTACTTTTATCACAAACCATTACTACATGGTTACAAGCTGAATCAACATGTAATTATTGCATTAAAATCAACGTACTATCCCATACATGTGGATAGTAGTACTCTTAATTACAGAAAATCTAATGTACCAAATCTATGTTGTTTCCAACAGTCTACGGAAACTAAGGCAAAGATGACTATATATATATATATATATATATATATATATATATATATATATATATATATATATATATATATATATATATATATATATATATATATATATATATATATATATATAATTCCACCCTTGCTAAATTCTTCAAAAAAAATTAATGACAGTATAGATTATATTTGGACTTGATTTTCCGAAATGTATCACGAAAACCGAATAATCAGGATCGTACATACTATTTACATTAACTTTAGAACATAATAACATACTTTCAAAAAACATATCTATTACGTTCAGTCAAGCGGTAGATTAAAGTACACACAAGTTTCTCGCAAATTGACTGTGTTTGGATATTTACTGTAACTACTCTAATGTCAGTGAAACTTCGGTTTAGAAAGACAAACACTCAATAAAAATCCACGATTCGGTACAAGAATGTACAAAGTGAGTTATATATGCTCTGTATCGCACACCATGCGAAGCGAATAGTAACAGTATACAAATCAAATGTATTGATTATTACACTGAACTATAAGATGTGTATTTTGATAGTCAATCTTTGTTCATGCGTGGAACCAAGAAGGAAACATTGCATGTTCCATGCTAAATGAGATACTAAAGACACTGGATGGGCCTAAAGTCCTAAATATGGATTTTCGTAGGCTTTATGTCTCTAAACTTTACAGTTAAATCATGGGCAACATATATTCAGTCTATAAGTTAGGAGTAACAAAATGAATAGTTAAGGCCCTCAAATGCCCTGGTACGGCCGAGAGTGGGGAAAGTCCGCTTATCCTCTCGAAATGCTCTCACATGGCCACGTGTATACAGCCTCTCCCAAAGAAATTTTACGCACTGCCTTTTCGTGGCGTAGGTGTTGTTTACGAAATTGAGAGGACGAAAAGTGAATGTTCGGCGCTTTAACCGGGTCGGTGGACATGGGGGATCTGTACAGGGGAGTTGGAAAAGCCTGATTCCCAACCATTGATGCACATGGGCAGTTTCACAGCCCTCGCACATATGAAATGAGATATGGGTGGCCCATGTGTATTTGGTGCCTCTTTTTATCAATATCTGTTAGAATAAATAGAAACAAACTATAAGTGTCTAGAAAGATATCAACTAGAAAAGTACACAACTTGATGTGGAATCGTTACTGAAGTCTCATGATGGAAAATATGCTGACATTCGAACTTTTTTCTACCCAGTAGACCGAAGGACTAAGAAATTAGATGACTTTCTTAGTGATTAATCCAAGATGCATACACAAAAATATACGAGACATTTAATTTGCAACCTGCATTAAAACCAGTTTGACAATAGACTCACTCAACGGCATGAAGCTTGTGGTATTCTTGGTCAGCTACTCCTTTCTTTGACAACTTCACTCCATCATTGATGTTAAAAGCCAAAGAAGACAGCTTTTGAGTTTGCACCATCAGAGCCCTGGAAACAATCTATCAAAAGTAGCGACATACGCAGAGATATCAAGTCGAGGGTTATACATACATCTGTGAATATGTACTGAAGATAAATATGCCATTGAGAAGACTAAAATGCCATACTGAGCAACAGATGATGGAAGAAAAACCATCATCAAGTATGCCGGTATGGCTTGAGCAAGCATATGAACAACTAGACTAAAAAGATTAAATAATTCAAAGGAAATTACGGTCCATAAACAAGATACATGATCAAAAATCCGCTGACAAACTCAAAAAGGTGACGGCGCTTTGAATTTTCTGTACATGGTGGTAAGCATTTCTGCATTACACAGCCTGAAAGTAGCGTGAAAAGTTGACATATCACGAATGTATACTAAATTTTTTATGGTCATATTATGCAAAAATTACATGTTCCGCATCAATGACGGAAAAGTATCGGAAAGCACTCATGAAAACAGGAAAACACGAAAGACATAGAGCGCGGGTAAAGCAAACACAGAATTTAGGTAATTTAGCTTCACTAAACGCATTCAAACGCCAACGTTTTTAGATTCAGCTTTGTGTAGTAAGGATGGAAGGCATACAACCTTTGTTATTCCTTTCCTACTTTTCTTCCACACGTATCTAGTTTCCTCTTAAATGAGTCAATCGAAGGTGCGGTAACCACTGCTTCGTGTAACAGGTTTCAAGAATTTATGACTAGGTGTGCGAACCTGTAAGCCACGGGTATTTTGTTCGTTCTTGGTTTTTATGCTCGCCTTCTATGTCCTCCAAGGTGTACCGATCCAGCGAAATTGGAAAGAGAGTACATATTACGTTCAAAATCACTTCTTATTATTCCATGCATCAAAATGAGATCATCTCATAAAGCTTTTCAAGCCGCTCGGAGTTCTGGGATTGCATGGGTAGCTCTCTGTAAGTTTTTCAGGATAAGTGAGTAACCTTTTAAACAGGGGCTTGTAGCCTGAACTCACTTTTCAAGCTTAGTTTTCACTAAGGTTGTGTATATTGTAGTGAACATGATAGGATGTAACTCAGTGAATGATCGTCTTAAAGCTCATAGGGTCCTAAACCAGTTAGCTGCGACCTCTTAGCAATGGCACTTCCTCTATACTGTGTCTATTAACTTTTGTATCCCCAAAGTGCATGCAGACACACTTTACCGTGTTGATAAGCATCAGCCACTCTTAAGACAAGTTAACCAATTTATCTAAGTCTGCTTGAAGAACACATGCGTCTGCGTCTCTAGTTATTACTCGCCAGACTTTTACATCGTCAGAGTATAATAACATTGAAGACAGCACTATACTTTGGAGTTTATTTACATGCAGTATGAAAAAGAAAGGATCTAGGACAGAACCTTGAGTTACTCCATTAAGCACTGGTGTCCATGTGAATTTACCCGAATTTACTATTACTTTCTGTCCACGACCTACTAAAAAATCCTTATTCTATTTTAAGAGAAGTGCATCAATGCTAAAACTTTCTAGCTTCAATAGCAGTCTATTTGTTGCCACATTGTCAAGTGCCTTATTGAAATCTATGTACACGAGCCTTTCACCCTTGATCCCTTGCTAGAAGGAGGTTTGCTGTGTAAGATAAACCCTTTCTGAACTCGTGTTGTTCTCTTTTTGACAAGTTCTTGGTTCTCACAAACGTCATTATGGTATTTTTTGACTATTTTTACAGTATTTTAACCACGACACAGGTGAGGCTGACAGGTCTGTAGTTCGATAGAAGTTGTCTTGGTTCTGTTTTACGTATGGGAGTAATGATTTCACCTTGGTCAAGTAACATATTGGATATCAGTTAGTTCGGTTGTAGTATATTGTGCAATTTTTCTCAGGATTTTGAAGTGCAGTTCATCCGGCTGTGTTGACTTTCCCATGTCCAATGTGCTAAGAGCCAAAAATTCATCGTCTCGATCAAAGTCCACAATTAGCAGGCGGTTTGTTCACTTCGTATTTGGGTTTAGTTCGTTGTTCAGAAGAGGCTCCTGAGTAAAAACTGCCTCCTAATAGTTTGCCATAGCCTCAACATTTACCTGATTATCCTTTATCATTTGGGATCTACTCCCTTAATTAAGTTGTGAATTCAATTCTGCATCCTTGTTTTGTAATTTATGTACGATAATAGTCTCTTAGTCTGTTTGATTACGGATTAGGTCAACTGCATTTCATATTTTATCTGAGCTACTTGGATTTTAATTATACACTTGTTTCCTACCAGCTTGTAGGGTCCCACCGTGCTTGCTGTGCCAAGGCTGATGGCAATGTCCTAATATCTCTTCTTTCGCCTTAATAAACATCAAAATTCCCGGACTATCCAGAGTTTCCCGTGCTTCTTCTTCTTCTTTGGAACTGTCCAGGGTATATATGGTCGAGTTACTTGATAGCATAACTGTCTGAAGACAAATGCCCGAATGGTCAAAATGGTTTGTACGGAATAGAAGAAGCTTCTGATTAACGGGCTTTCGTATCTAATTGTAATGAGTTTCCGAATAGTCTAGGTAAGAAGCTAGGTATATTTAGATATTAGAGAGAAAACATTATAGCGAAACACTGTTCTTATTCTCTAAGGATATGTCACATTTTCGCCTGAAGGACTCCTGAAAAGCCTCTTGGGCTATCGCAGGTGGCAGCAAATCGTTGAAGTTCACGACACTTGAGGAGTAAAACGTATGCCTACAGTCCGTTTTGCAGTCATGTCTCCAGGACCTGATGTTGTAATAACATTTCGTAGATGCCCAGAACTGTCTAGGATGCAGCAAGTCAGTAGAAGTTCACCTCAAAGACTCCTCTATTCAGAAGGGTAGAAATTCAGTGATTGGAGGCGCTCTTTAAAATAATTGAATTTAATTCCCTGAACTGATATCGCTGCTCTCCATTGAATGAGTAAAAGATTGTCCAAATCTTTTTGCAGAGAGATGAAAACAAGCAAAAGAAAAGTTGCTAACCAGTAAACATGATGGTATAGGGATAATTTTGATCTGTAAGACAGAACATTTTGTCAAATTACGGCTCCTTATGGTCACGTGGGATGTCATGAACCAATGGTATTGATATTGATTTATTATGAAAATACCTCCTCAAATCGTGTTTGTGACGTTGAGTTGGTTTCTTTACCTACCGAGTAATCCTATTGCAATCAAAATTAGACTGTTCGCTAAAAAAGAAATCTCTTCAAGACCAAATGAAACCTACAAAAATGGGCTCAACTAGCTTCGACAAAACGGTGGATAGCCATTTGGGCATCAGAATACTGTTTTCAGTACTATGCTTTATAAGTATACAATCCCATACTTTCAGCTTCTTTTGCCAGTTGTTTATCCACTCGCACCCTACTGCAGCGATGTAGAAAACTGTCCCGGTCTCCCACATTGTGCGAGTATTCCATGTTCCTAAATAAATAGTTGCTCTAGTTGTCAGAAGGGGCATCAGCCTCGTGACTTCCGAAGGAACTCGGGTTTCATCATGAAGCGTCATAGTTCTTCTAAATCAAGACCTACTGACTCCCAGGGAAGAGTTTAAAAGGTTTGAATACTTTTTCCTGGTAAGCGTTTTTTAGCGAGTTACTTTTTCATGGGATGGAGTCGCTAACAGCATGCCCAACCCTTCTCCTTTTTCCGTGCTTGGGAACGGCGGTAGCCCCCGGAGGGACTCCAGGTGGAGTTCACTCACACCATGTTTACACTTATTTTCTGTAACCTACTTGAATGCTCTTGCTTAAAATGTACCTTAATAATAGAATTTAAATTAGGTAGTCCTACCTTCACTGTTTCACGGCAAACGACACAATTCCAATATTCACGAACACTCTCTACTTCAAACTACTCAAAAACCTTACTTATTCAACTTGTAAGATAGTTCTTTCTTGGGATTCACATCAATATGAACTTCGAAACAAAGTGTATACCGTCAAAGTTGAGAAATACAGATAAAAAACTCAAGAAAACTTCTTCCTCATCAAGTATGCAATAATATGGAACAGTGTTCCCTCCAAAATACGCATGGCAGATGAATTATATACTTTTGTAAAACTGCTTGATGAAGCCCTCGCTTGCACCGATCTAGCACGTAGGAAAACATTTGCGCCCCGCTCAGACATCATAAGCTCAATCAATGTCTAGACCAAAATTGACTTCAAGACCAGTTTGCCTTATTTTTCCTACTTTGCAGTTGTATTAGTTAGTATTTTCACCCTATTTCTTCGCTTGAAGTAGACAAGTAAGTCACTGTACCTATCGATACTGTTAAACCAAACTCGGTCTCTAAGTGACACTCACTACCACCCTAAAAAGTCAAGAGGACTGCGAAATCGATTGTCTACTACCAATGGTCTTGCACCTATGGAACCTGTTACCAACCAACCGGTTAGAATAGAACAAAATAACATTAACGCGAAGTTAATGTGGGTTCCTCTTTGTCTATTCTTTATCAGCATTTTACTCTCCAGTACACTATGTTGACTTGCAATTAATATTATTTCTCCACGCGTTAACTTATCTACAACTCATATATTTCTATACTTTTCCACCTATTCCCTTATTTTCTCCATATCCTTCTTTAAACTCAATTCAATATACTTCTCAAATACACAGACCCGATTTATTATTATTATTCTATTATTATTACTTTTTTTATAATATGGCAAATATGGTGCTAACATTATCGAAAATTGTGTAATATTGCATTTTTTGAAGACACCTGGAATGGTTTCTTCACAACACTTATGTACCCATAAGATGTTTGTGAACAATAATAATAACTAATGAGGATGATACAGGTATTCAGTGTTTGACAACGCTTCTACCAGTAACACCTTCTAATATACTTTGTTCCCACCGAGAGAAATCAAAAGACAGAGTCGAGGGGATCGGAAGAGTGTATTTGGCGATAACCAATATATCGGAATTCTCTGATCTAATCTGGCTAACGATTGTGGTAGATGTTGAGCACAGCGTTACCACACGTGATCTGGTGCGGATGCATGACCGAGAGCCTTCAGCCAGATGAGTCCACTATAACATATGGTCAGCATCTAATGTCGAAAACTTACAGAGCTATTTAGTTTGTGGTTTTATTTATCCCTACAGATCACTCCCCCCCTAGTGGGGCAGTGATGACCCTAAGACGTGACCAGCCAGAGGTTTAAAACCAACGAGTTTGTCGTTGGTAAACACTCTTCTGATAGCTTACTAAATTTAGCAGCGTCTGGTCGTCTTTCCTTACTATATGGGACCGAGGTACAACATAGTAAAAAAAAAAGAAAATGTACAATGAAAATTTCGGCTCCTCGTAAACTGCATCGTTCTTTTCTAGCCGTCCTGGAAAAGAAAAAAGTAAATGTAAGTGCATGTCGAAATACACTCGTATGTGCGTAAAAGAGGGAAAATAATCTCATGAAACGTAACAGCGTTAAAAAAATCGTTTTTTTTGTTGTTTTTGTTTTTAAAAATAGAAATGAAAATATATAAGCCTATTTAAAAAAAATTATTTTTTAATAATA